TCCGCCTGATTCGACGCGCTGGAGTGCAATCCAGGAGGCCTTTGGGGCGTTGAAGTCACCTACCAGCAGGAGATGAGTGAAGTGTTAGTTAGGGTAGAGTTGATCGTTAGTTAGTATGAGGAATTGGTCATCTTCAGTGGGACTCGAAAGGCTACGGTAGACCACGCCGAAAAGGGGAGAATCGGACCCGCCGGGATTTGGTACCAGCAGGAGATGAGTGAAGTGTTAGTTAGGGTAGAGTTGATCAAGGGTTAGTATGAGGAATTGGTCATCTTCAGTGGGACTCGAAAGGCTACGGTAGACCACGCCGAAAAGGGGAGAATCGGACCCGCGCAGCGGGATTTGGACCCACAGTGCATCGCAAAAGGGTGTAGGGGTGATGTCAGAGAGGACAATCGGGATCGGTAGGGCCGCATGTAAGTACAGAGCAACCCCACCAGCCCTCCCTCGTTTTGAGTCAGCTCGAAAAATAGAGCAACCGTCTATCGAGATCTCCGCGTCAGAGATATCTGGTGTGAGCCAGGTCTCTGTGAGTGCGATTATGGACGGTTGTTCAAGGCAAGCTGACTGTTTAACATCGCCGAGTTTGTTGGTGGTCCGTGACTTTGAAGTTTCGTTCACTGAAACAAAATGCTTTAGGAAAATTATCGCTGAAAGGTGCGAACGTATTAGACTTGCTCCCCGCAAACGCCGCAACTTCTTTAACCCAACAGTTTCGGACAAATTAATTTGGATGTGCTCCCAGTGACCGGTTGTTTAAACTGGGGCTCAATTAGCGGCGCAATGCTTTTACCCACCGAACTTCTGTGAATGGAGTGAATCATTTTGCGCCAAAATGTTGCATTTTGTTGCGGATGTGCTCAAGCTAAAAATCATCCTGGGCTATGTTGCGTACGCTGCTAATTTGAGCTACTTGTCGACCACAAGAAACTGCTCGCTTGAAAAAATCAGCAACCAATAGAAAATTTACCTAGCACACGCATTTTTGCCTAAAATCATGATAACCTCGAAAACATCGTTATTCTGGAGCGATAATTTTGATGACTTAGATGCAAATTTTCCGCCACCGAACAGTCGGGAAATTTCGAGCCTCGCGCGTTTTAAATTGCTTTCCATCACCTTAAAGCATAAGACCGCGCTTGTGTCCTGTTGGCCAGTTGGACTTTGTGTGCGCTAACGAATTTATATTCCCTCAAGGTCGCTCGGGATATATGTATTCGAAGGTGCTGTCGTCTTATTTCGGCTTTGGTTAAGGCAATAAAATCTCTCCTCTGAAGGTCCAGTCTTCTTATCTCTCTAGGCTAGTTGTTGGGCTCGTGTCACAGCTAGATATTTGTGCGTTAGTCCTCAATTCGCGTTCGGTCGTTGATTGTACCCGTTCAGATACATCGCAGTGGCGCTTTCGAATTCTTCACGGGTTGATACACAGGATCGAGGCTTTTTCCCAAGTTCCCCGGGTTGGTTTTGTTCTTGCCCGTCAGCGGCTGTCGTTCACCTGTGAAATTATGGTGAGATGTATGATCGTATCCTTGGCCACGGTGAAGCCCAACGTGATTCTCTCGAATTCGTCTCTCCTGGTAATTGGGTAATCTGTGCATAATAATACCAAAGGACAGCTTGGATGCTACGGGTTACGGACTGATGCAGACCATCCGGGTCGCGTGCATTGTCGCATCGGATGGATGGTGTTGATGACCATTTCGATAATCCACGAAGGCCCGTTGGGTTCTTCGGGCGGTTGAAGCAGGGCAGCTGAAATGCATCATCGCTATCGGCAACACAACATCTTCGTTCACTTCGCTATCGTGCGACTCTAGTTTATTTGAATGTTCATTGTGAAGAAGAAAACAAAAGTGCTTAATGCCAGCCTACCGAGGTGCGTAAACCTACAGGCACTCTTCCAAGCCAACTAGATAGAAACTGATAACATGAATGCCATTGACGTTGACTGCCAGCCGTATCGTGCAGCGTCTCAGAACATGTATACCGGGGAAGCACGCGGGGCTTATGCTGGAAGGGAAATGGCGCCGACATTTCCTTCTGCTGGGTCGCAGGTTGACAGCGCCTCTTCTGAGGCCACTGTGAATTGGGCACGAAAAGTAGCACCGTTCTCGGCAAAGGACCCTTCGGTGTGCCCAACAGCTGGCCTGGCCACCACGACTCTTGGTGCTGAACATTTTAGACGGAATTATTGAACAACCAAAGACGGGCTTTCGAACTGTCCAAATTCAGATTCGCCGACACTTTCCTACGCGGCCCGTGATTCTGAGAGTTGTCGTTGAAAGCCTAAAGACGTTCCGGTTCGGCTCAGTTGTTTAGCTCTAGCACCCTTTCGGTCCCGAACTGCCATACCACCCGAAGAAAGCACGTGGGTTGGGTTAATGCCAGGTTGCCCAGGTGTTACCCAGACAGGGGTTGCAGCTCAGTGGACAGATTGAGTAAACACCATTTGCTCCGTGTTGAGCCGTGTTTGTGGTTAATTAGCCGAACGAACGTGCAGGCGACTGTTCATCGGAATCGAGTCTAATAAAATGCTCCGTGCCTTGGGAGAGTACAAATCCCCGTTGTGGGTGTCACGAGCCATTACATCGGGATCTATGGATGTCCAGGGAATGAAATGGGAACTTCCATTGCTCGTTCTTGGCAATATTAGGTAAGGATTGAGCTTAATTTCCTTCGGGAAGAAAGCGTACATCGGAAAAAGAAGCGAAAACAGCTTAAGCAAGACAAGACGGCGGATGGAGACAGCACTATGAATAAGCTCTTCGGATATTATCAAAGGGTGTTTTTTGTTTAGTTTATTGAACTGTGGCTGGGACGTATGATGGTTACGAGATGGAAAAAGTTAAGTTAAACGTGTCAATTTGAATGTAAGGTAGGGTTGTGGGTGGAAAGTAGGTGAATAAAGAGCCGCAAGTGCAAACGGTAAATTCCAATTACCCATGTCGAGGAAACAGGCTGGCCTGAGGTATGTCACCTTGGTCTTTGAACCGGTGGTTTGGCCCACAAATATACGGGATACTGCGGAGGGTTTTACAAAGTACCTTGCGCGTATATGCTGCTCAACTGACTAAACATTAAGGCTTTGGATGTTTTTTTATATTTCTAAGATTCAAGCAGGAGCCGAGGGTTAATTAGTCTGACCCGCGAAGACCCGTGGCGAAGAGCTGACCTACTCCGAGGGTGCATGAAATGAGTCACCATCATTGTCAGATGAAATAAGTTATGAAATAAATCATACTTAGTCTACCAGGGGGCGAGATGTCCCAAGTGGTTAGAGCGCGAATTTACTGACCGGAAGGGCTGTTGGTTCGAATCCGACTTCCGCCTCTCGACTTCTGTCTGGGCTTGGGCGACCTGGCAGTATCCCAGCCCTCGTGCCTCCTTCATGTGGCATGGCAGCTAGGCACCGAAAGGGTGCTACAGCTGGATGATTTTTTTAGTACTACCACTTGCAGCAGCCGTGACTAGCATGGACAATTCATAGTCAACCGCTGTGTAATCATAATGCAGCGATTTAGCGCAGTGTTTAGTTATCTGTGTGTGGCAGCTTTGCCGATTTTGCAGACAGGTAAACTGGTCGTCTGGGGGAACACCTTGTTATCTTCTCTTGTATCACAAAGGGTAGTATGACTCTAATGTTAACGTGACTCGTAATACAATCGCTCGTTTTATGAGGCCTCGGTTTTTTGTCCGCCATAAATGAGTCATGAGAGACGGGGTTCCGACTAGTGTGACCCGCGCCTTAGTCGGAACACCAGGTCGTGACAGCTCTTAGGGAAGTCACCACAGATGGTGTTGTCTACGATCAACCAAACAATCCAAATGAAGGTAAAGCAGCAAGTGACGAAGACCGGCACACTCAGTTCAAGGTCGCGGAAAAGTTGCGTGATATCTATTTCATTCAGTATGGTTTCTAGATGGGAGCTTGGAAAACCGTGAAAAGAGAAGTGTCTATTCATTTAGCGTAAACGAAAGAGCACCTGGTTTATGTTTTGTTCATTCCGGGTATACTTAAAACCATCTGATAAGATTTCGTCAAATCTGCCTCCTAGTGACATCCCATTATTATGAAAGTGATATTTCGAAGAGTTCAAATAAAGAGCACTTCGAAATCCACGCGGACAAATAAGTACTTGACTGAGTCATTCAGCCTCACAAAACTGAGGATCTGGCTAATACATCCAAGTGATCCCTTCTTTCTTATGGGACCAGTGACTATGCCTTTATTTTGGAACAACTAAATATCAATGTTTAGACAGAGATGGCATTTTGAAGCGAACGTTCCTTCGATATTCGAAGCACGTGATCGAGCCAGCAGGCCTATCGCGTGTGAATCATTTCATATATTCTCACTGGAATGCATATGTTACCCGTCCAATTTCAACATGAAAGTAGTGTAGAATGAAAATAGAAACACATTCTGCTTGTCACTTCTGATAGTAGCAATAGTCGTTCGCTTCAGCATCACCTGAGGCTTCTTAAATATGCTACTTTTCCTGCAGCTATCCCGTTTCCCGATCTGGACGAAGCATCTAGCTGGGAATCATCTTTCCGATCCAACTGCGTCTGCTCTGTCTTTCTTCACGTTGTTGAATACCATGTGGCGCGGGTTGTTTCGTTCTTGCAAGTTCTGTTTTATGCACATCTCCAGTACCAGAAGTGGATTTAGGTTGTTCCATGTCCTATCTGTTTTATCAGTTTCAGCCATGGCTTGGCAATCAAGTGGCAGAACTCACGAGGAACTTATAGGAAACCTGTATAGTAAGTGACGTTTGCATTCACACTACATCTTCAGAAAATCGCGTGATCCGTTCATCCAATGTGAAGGATGCTATGATTGCAGTGGACCGTGGCTTGTTCTCCAAGCATAATGCGTACGAGGACCGACCGATGCCGATAGGGTTTGAAGCCACCATTAGTGCTCCCCATATGGTGAGTGAAACGTATTGTTGAATTACATACGCCAATTAGCGTAGGCTGCAATAAAGGCCGAATTTCTGCAATCTTAAAACCGATTCAGTTGGTAGTTGTAATCGACCTAAATCAGATATGTTTTCATAAAATTTACTCTCATAATCGATCTCCACTGAGGTCCGGAACATTTATTCATTCATCTGTTGGCCTCTCACCTTCGGATGCATTACCTCACAATAACTATTTCTTAACCGCCTGACTGTCCTCACAACGAAGACAGCACCTCTGATGAATTGGGTTGTTGACATATCTTTCGAAATTGAAGAAAATGTTGTCTTGTCATGTTCAACAAATACTCTGCTGCCCTGGACGTCACATATGACTCTAAAGAAGCTTGAAAGAACAAGTACTTATGTTACTGGGAACTTTAGTAGCCAATAAGTCTATATATTGTTCCGTAACTGGTGTCGACTACTACGTTTCGTGTAAACGACGTGTCCTTTGCTAGTTCGATGGCCAGGATGACCTTCTGAAGTTTTGGGGCTTCACAATCGGGGATGCACTCTAGTTTGAGTGTTGAGAAGTCGGAACACTTCTGGCCTCGAATGTCCAACGTATCATAATGTTAGGCCTTCATGAATGCTTAGGGTGTTACTTGATTGTCTGGAATGTTGGAGGACGAGACTTCGTTGACGGATATCATCGACAGCCGGTCGGTTGTGTAGCATGACTCAAACTGGATGCTACTGATACCTGGGTAGTTCATTTTGCAGTACAAGACCGAAATCTCTATCCACATTGACGTCAGAAACCTTTGATGAGGGTCGATATAAGGCCGAAGAGGTTTTGTGAGCCTGGAATGTGTGAAATACACTTGTTCTGAAAGAAACAATTCTGTCGTCCCATTAACCTCACTCCAAGAGAGATCATCCTCTCCGAAATCGAGACCGCCTCATTCCTATCGAGCGAAATTTGTCTGTAAATTGATGTTTTTTGGTCGACCGCCTCTATCTTTTTACGAAGATCACTTTAGGTACCCCTTGACAAAGACCGAGACTAAAGATCCGTTTTCCATGTTTCCACACATGATTTTCAGCTAGATGATCCTTAAATACCACAGGCACCCTCCAAAAGTAGACTTCCGCAAAGAAGGATAGTTAGCATGGAAAGAGCACCATAGCATCCACCGTCACCTTCAACTAAGTAGATAGACCCAGGGCCATCTTTGTGATTTACTGGGATGTGAAAGCCTGGTAGTGTGCAAAGTACCGACAAGTCGAACCCTATGTGAGAGACGTAGCGAAGTTCAACATCAGCTACGTAACAGATTGGTTCCATCCATGGGGGAATTCCCGGATTTTTGTGTAGACCATTGGTTCTCAAACTTTTCAGCTTACCACTCATTACTGCATAGCGTATGGCACAAGCATCCCTCGTTTCATATGTACAGCATAACAAGAGTTGTTAAAGGAGCATCTTACAACGTAGTGATTAACTTATCACATCATCCTTAGGAGAGACCTCTTTGAATAAAGCATACTGTCGTTGAGAAACGTAACATCACAAGTCAAAAGATATGACTTAGTGTGCAATGTCTTCGAAGACCATCTCTCTCTCCAACCATGCTCAAGAATTTCATAACTTATTTCTAAAACATTGCCCTCCATGGCACATGTTTGCGGATACTGGCTGTCCAGAAATAGCACGAATTTACATCTCAGCTATTCCATCTTCTACTGATGACATGCCTCTACTTTGTGGTGGCGTCCGCATCCATTTTCGGTTTGGAATTGCAGTCTTCTCCAAATACCAGAAATTAGCGCGTGACTTATATACGTCTTAATTGCAGTATAGGGCGTGGTTTGGAAAGTTCAATATTGAGCGAAGTTGCTTACAAAAGCACAGTGCCTTGTCAATTGAGGGTCTGTCTACATGTCTTTGTGTAATCCAGTGCGGCAATACGAGAACCATCCGGACGTCATTCCTTAAGTGACTTGGTGGACAAGGCCTTTTCAACGCACCATAAATTTTGTCAGTGTTTGTTCACTATTTTCCACCATACTGGGGCAATACGAGAACCATCCGGACGTCATTCATTAAGTGACTCGGTGGACAAGGCCTTTTCAACGCACCATGAATTTTGTCAGTGGTTGTTCACTATTTTCCACCATACTGAAATATTTTGCAATCGTGGGGTTTTGCCAAGGACAACCGAATTAACGCTAATCACGGGGTGCATGGCTGCGCACAGTAAAACGGCTACTGATAGCTGAATGTCTATGGTTAATACCACAAGCTGATTGGCAGTCATTGGGTTGCTTCCATCCGACATCGTCGATTCTTCGTTGGTGACCAAAAGAACTGCGTTGTAGGCTACTTGCACAGAATTGGTGGAAATTTACACCAGTTTGCCTCTCGGTATCCTAAACAACCTTTGTACGGGTGGGCTGAAACTTTCTCATTTTGTCGCAAGTAAATGCTCCAGACATTCGGTACCGTTATGTTTCCTTGACTGACGGATACTACCGCAACTTTACCCTCGACGGTTCGCAACATGTAAGTCGTTACGAACGAGCGGTTGACTCATCACAAAAAAGTATTCTCATATGACGGTGCATACAGTGGCAGATATTGTGAGCTGGATAGTTACTGGTCATCGTATACTGTTTTATCCCATCTTTCAGCTTTACTGCCCTCAGTCGGTACCACACCCATGGAGTTTGTCAATAATTGATGCGGTTTGTGTACAAGAGTGTACACTGTACAAGACTCCTATCTTAGACCCAGTTCGGTCTAAAAGATTTCACTGATTTGACGCGTTTATCAGCTGTGCATATGCTGACCTGCTTGAGGTGCTAGTGCATTGGCAAGTCTGAGTCGATGGCACGGAGTATTTGCACTGTGATCGTTCCTGTTGAGGAGTAAATCAGGCGTCCGAGAAAGTGGGGTTCCTCCTAGAGCAGGAAAAGCTCCGCTCTTCAAAAATTGTCTTCACAATGCCAATGTTTTCCGGGAATTTCCTCGAGAATAATTACTGTCTCCCTGTCCACACTCGTCTACTGGATTTGTCAGACTCATTCTCATTCATTGGCTCAAGTGGATTTACCAAACACCGCTTTTCCAGCCGGATCATCCCTCGGTTTCAGAAGATTAGCGTCCTGAATCGAAGTATCGAGCAGTCATGCAGCATCCTTCCACCAAAAATGCTGCTCATGATTGTGTTCAGCAACCAAATGCCTCGCGTCATAAACCTGGACGAACAGTACGTAACTACTCTTGTCTGCTTGCTTAGCGCCATTCATGGGTCTCTGTGCAAGGATGCACTGTATCAGATGATCAAGGAGTTGGCATAAATTCTTGACAGTACCGAAAAAATTGGACTATTGGTTTGGTCTTACAACTATTTGTAGGATTTTGGAACCGCCAAACTTCGGAATGCTACCAGGGATTCTTCAGATCTCCGAGGGGACTGCGCAACAGGGGTAACTTTTTCGAATACTGAAATTGTTGCTTCATCAATGTGATTAAACACGTTTTATCCCTGTTTCACTGTCATCCCGAATAACAACTAGTCATTCACTCCAGGGATCATGTTCTAAACTGCCAAGAATAAAAACAGCGGAGGGATGACTTTCATTAATAATGAAAGCAAGGAGGGACTGTGAGAACAATACAACCGGAACCGGTTCGCACTGTTACCGAATTTAGCTGTTTGGGCAGTACTGATTCGATACATGATCAATTAATCCTCCAAGGAGACGATTAGAAAAGTTTCCCCCATACTCATTCTTTGTCAGCCACAACTTTATGCTACTGGTTGCGATTGGACTTCGAAACGGTGCTCATCGCGAGTTCGTAAACGGTGGATTAAGAATTCGGGAATCTCGTATCTCGTTATGAGGTTCTAATCAACGTTCAGCAGTTCAGATAACCAGAAGTTCCAAGGCGATTTATGGCTAAAGACAAGATGGAGCGCTGAGTTCAGTTGAAAAAACCGGCGCCACTAGGATTGATCGATTGCTCTTGTCCTGTCACTCGAATAATTAAAACAATGGTTTAACCGACTAGACCACGGTAGGCAATGTGTTTGAATCGAATGCTTTTAAGTGCATATTTCGTAGCCAACCTTATGTTCTACATGAACCCGAATTGTACGAAGCCCCCGAAATACCTTCATTAGTAAATCGATTTGGCTTTAACAGAAGACTCAGCTAAATCCCATTAGAGTTCCTCGTTTGTGACATTTTTCAATTGAACGTTGCCTTATATTTTATTTGGTACAATGTTCGAGATATCGTAGTATCTATTCTCGAAGGAACACTATTCAATGTTTCTGGGGGCGAGACAGCTCAGTAGTGGGCGCGAATTTACTGACCGGAGGCTCCGTGTTTCGAACCCGAACTCTGCCTCTCTACTTCCCTTGTTTAGACTTTGGCCACAGTATCCCAACCCTCGTGTTTCCTTAGAGTGGCGTAGCGGCTAAGCACCGAAAGGGTGTTACAGCTGAACGATTGTCTTTTTTCCTGAAGGCTCTTGGGCAGCCTACGACCTATTTCGCCCTTCTTGGGACTCGCCCCTAAGTTCCTCTTCAGTCAACCTTATGTTCTACTTGAACCCATGTTCAAGCCATCCGGTGTTTATGGTCGTTCACACTTGGGCTCGGCGGTTACTGCGATGCCATGTTATTCTTGTGCAACCGCCTGCTCATAGGTCCGTCTGATTCGATTTCCCTGGGTGGCGACAGTCGTGAAAGAGAGAGGGCATAAAGTGGTGTTCCCTATTACCCACGATTTAGTGCACTCCCGAGAATACGCTCAAATGCTTCTTTCACACTGGTGTCCTCTTTTCGTAGGACCACTATGACAGCGGAAATGCCATTCAAATTGGTGTGCAGCCGTTTACTGTAGTGTTTCTTGATATGCACAAAGATAACACCATCCTGAAAGGCGATGCTCAGACTGCTGCCAAGTTATGCAGAACACTTCGTGACCACTGAATCGTTTGCACGTGTTCACTGGAACACATGTCTCTTACAGCATGCCATCATCAAGCATTAGTTGTACTCGGTACTATGCTACTGACGAATTGTTTTGAAATATGCTGGTCTCTGAAATATCTCGTGGCTGCCGCCTCGAACTGTATGTGCATTGTTTGGTTTGATGACAAAAACTATTTACTAACTTGTATAGGATAAAGATCTTTCGTTGTCTTCTGTATGTGCCTGAAAATCAAAAGTTCTGTAAGCAGTGTACTGTGAATCCTTTCCTGTTTTCCTCACAGCATGCCCATGCTCTGGAGGCGCTCCATGACAAGCTTGTTCCCGGAGCACATGCCTTGGATGTGGGTGCTGGTACTGGCTACCTGACTGCTTGTATGGCTTTAATGGTAAGTTTTGTTCGCACTTGTCTCCCGCCACTTGGTGAACTTCTCTCCTAGAAACATTAGCGCATATATTACGCTAGCTTCATTGTTGGCCTGGAGATTTTCAGCGAAACTGTACCGTGTAAACATATTTTGCCATATCTCCCACTTCCTCGAAGCATGGACGGCCTGGACGGTCTAATCAAATCTGTTTCACGATACTGAGAACATGCCGATTGGGTCGCCTTTCAGAGTGTTTGGAATGTCATGTTACGTTTGGCTAGAAGCCCAGATTTTGGTACGGTTGCCGGAGAAATGAATGCACAATTGGACAGACTTAGCGTATTTGAGAGCCGCTTAGGTGGTCGATATAGATTGAACTCGTTACGTTCTACCAATGACTAACGAGTGCTTCAGCTATGTCCTGACAGTAGCCTTTTCATGCATTATCAACTTCCGGTATAACCCAAATCGTCTGGCTATACGGTGTCATCCAACAGCGTACCGGCTACGAACTCAAGTTGATCACTTGCCGGTAGCACGGCTCATTTCGGAACGCATTTGTGGATTCCGATCACGCACCTGTCCGGAGTCAGGACCGCCTAAGGTGCAGACAAATCATTCCGCAACCGAGTGAGTGGCAGATCCCAAAGTTATACGAATCTATCAAAATCGTCCTTTGAACTCTCTTCCAAACGTTCTTTCGTTGGGTGCGAGTTCGTGTTGGAACGAAATTGCCACATCTTTGCACAGTGTCGTGAATTTTGCCTGTGTCACGGCGTTGCTCCGGTTTCTCAAGTGATGGATCTCAGGCAGGGGGGTATTGTTTGAATCTCGGAAAAATATTCCCGCTGGTTCCAAACGAATTATCAGAAGTCAAGTGGAAATGAGCGTGCACGCCGACCGTCAAGCCTGGTGGACACAGGACGCCAAGGGAGGCTCAGAAAGTCGAAAGTGGCCGAATATTATTTCGGTTTATCAGTACGACCGGTACCTGGAAACCGCCTGTAAGAGAGACTATCAAGGATCGAAATGGCCCGACCATTTTCACTAAAGAGCGGTGTCTTGACATCTGGGTCGAGCAATTCGAAGAATAATTCTCGTGGTCACCCCCTATCACTTATCCCACAACTGAAGTAGAAGCTGGAACCCCATGTGGCCTCGGAGGTCCATGACTGCATATATTCCCTCAAGTGCCACCGAATTGCTGGTGCGGGTGACATCCCACTCGAGTTGTTCAAAGGTGGAGGTAAAGTCCTCATTCAGCGTTTGTTTGACCTGTTTGCCTGCATTTGGGAAAAGGAGACTGTCCCAGACAAATGGGAGAGTCGGTGGTAGTGCCCACTTTCAAAAAAAGTGCTCCTAGTGAGTGTGGCATATATATGGGGATCAGTTTGCCCCGGCTGTAGTGAGACTGCTGGTGTCACTGGTGCTTCGTCGCCTTACAATGGCTCGCGAAACACCGACTCGAGAGCGACTAGCGAGATTCCGCCCTGGTAGGGGTCGCGTTGACCAACTCTTCACACTTCGTCAGGTGCTAGAACAACGCCATACGTATAAGCTACCCACACTAACTAGTGGATGTCCAAGTCGCATTCAACTCGGTTGACCGGTCTGTTCTTGACACGCTTGCCCACCGAGGAACGCCCCGTAAGTTCGTTCTAAGACTTCCGGAGGTGTGAGAGTATACGGCGAGCTCCCCGAAAGCTTCCGTACACAAAGTGGTGTCCGCCAGGGATACCCACTCTCTCTATTCCTACTTGACTTCGTGGTCCTTTGAACTCTCTTCCAAACGTTCTTTCGTTGGGTGCGAGTTCGTGTTGGAACGAAATTGCCACATCTTTGCACAGTGTCGTGAATTTTGCCTGTGTCACGGCGTTGCTCCGGTTTCTCAAGTGATGGATCTCAGGCAGGGGGGTATTGTTTGAATCTCGGAAAAATATTCCCGCTGGTTCCAAACGAATTATCAGAAGTCAAGTGGAAATGAGCGTGCACGCCGACCGTCAAGCCTGGTGGACACAGGACGCCAAGGGAGGCTCAGAAAGTCGAAAGTGGCCGAATATTATTTCGGTTTATCAGTACGACCGGTACCTGGAAACCGCCTGTAAGAGAGACTATCAAGGATCGAAATGGCCCGACCATTTTCACTAAAGAGCGGTGTCTTGACATCTGGGTCGAGCAATTCGAAGAATAATTCTCGTGGTCACCCCCTATCACTTATCCCACAACTGAAGTAGAAGCTGGAACCCCATGTGGCCTCGGAGGTCCATGACTGCATATATTCCCTCAAGTGCCACCGAATTGCTGGTGCGGGTGACATCCCACTCGAGTTGTTCAAAGGTGGAGGTAAAGTCCTCATTCAGCGTTTGTTTGACCTGTTTGCCTGCATTTGGGAAAAGGAGACTGTCCCAGACAAATGGGAGAGTCGGTGGTAGTGCCCACTTTCAAAAAAAGTGCTCCTAGTGAGTGTGGCATATATATGGGGATCAGTTTGCCCCGGCTGTAGTGAGACTGCTGGTGTCACTGGTGCTTCGTCGCCTTACAATGGCTCGCGAAACACCGACTCGAGAGCGACTAGCGAGATTCCGCCCTGGTAGGGGTCGCGTTGACCAACTCTTCACACTTCGTCAGGTGCTAGAACAACGCCATACGTATAAGCTACCCACACTAACTAGTGGATGTCCAAGTCGCATTCAACTCGGTTGACCGGTCTGTTCTTGACACGCTTGCCCACCGAGGAACGCCCCGTAAGTTCGTTCTAAGACTTCCGGAGGTGTGAGAGTATACGGCGAGCTCCCCGAAAGCTTCCGTACACAAAGTGGTGTCCGCCAGGGATACCCACTCTCTCTATTCCTACTTGACTTCGTGGTCGACCAAATCATGAGACGAACGCTGGAAGGTCTTCAAAACTCTGGTGCTCAAATAGTCTGTGACGAAAACCTTGTCGGTTTGGAATATGCAGACGACATTGTTCTCGTCTTCTAAGGGGAGAAGGCGTAGTTGCTTTGAATGAATTGACCGAAGTCATCCAGTCCTTTGGTATGCACTATGCAGCCACAAAGTGTAAGGTCATGCTCCTGAACGTGCAATCAATGATCTCGCCACTCGCCATTCAAGGTGAGATGCTCGAAGTTGCGGAGCGTTTTACATACTTTGGAAGTTGTATTAATTCTAATTGTAGTGTGACCGATGATGTCAGTGGACAAATCTTCATAGTTTGGGTCGCTTTTGCATATTTGTGACATCTATCGTGGCAGATCGGCACATCTGTGAATCTCAAGTGACCTGTGTATAGGGCCAGAGGACGGACTGTTTTGTTGTATGGCTGTGAGGTGTGACTTCCGCGAGCAGCCTACCTTAGACGTCTTCATGTGTTCCACAACCGCTGTCTCAGAACCATGGCTATATAGGAGACGTGGTCGACCTTTCGTCTTACAGAGCGGTATGAAAGAGACTACGAAAAGTCTGGGTGCTCTCGGTGCGGTTCGCCCTTTGGGACTGGGACTGTGTGATCCCCACTGGGCTTGGTTGGAGACACTGCGAGATGTGGCTGCTAGTCGATGTCAATGGCGTTCTTGTTAGCTTTTGTCCAGATCACTTGAAAAAGTGCCTGTAGGTGTAGCCACTTCAGAATGCTTGTGGTAAGATAGCATTGAATCTCTTCCCCGTCCACTTTTATTCTTTTCTTCACAATAAGGCTTTCAAACAAACTATGGCAGTGAAGCATCATTGTTGAACGCCAATGTTGTGCTGTCGTTGATGGTAATGATGTGGCTAAAGGGCGAAGTTACTGACCGGAATTTGTGTGATTCGAACCCAACCTGTGTATCTCGCTTGCTCCCATCTAGGACTGGGAAAATAGACAGCCCTGTTACCTCCTTCGGGTGGAGTGGCAGCTAGGCATTGAAAAAATATTATTAGTGGTAGTGGTATTTCACTTCAGTAGTAATCGGTCATCTGTAGTGACCCTTTGGTACGTATCTGTCATACCACCCGAAGGAAGCATGGGGGCTGAGATACCGCCAGGTCGCCCAAGTCTAGACAAGGCTAATCGAGATGTTGAAGTTGGGTTTGATCCACGGTCCTTCCAGTCGTGTCTTCATCACCGAGCGATCTCAAGCACTCCAGCATGCTCCCGTACCGACCAACGATCATCGACTGAACTTCAGCGGGTACATGATCTCTGGATCTTCGCCCTACTATGGAAGACATACGACGTGCAAGCGTGCAGCTGTGGAATGAAAAGGCAGCTGGGAGAGAAAACATGCTTGCAGCATGACCAAACTTTGGAAGACTCACAGATAGGTTACGTGAACTCATGTGACAAATTTGTCGTGGGTCAAACACAGCAACAGACAGATCCGGGAACAATTGCCAGTCCACTTTTTATGGGGAGGCAACTTCGAATGTGATTGGCCGTTTGGATGGTCAGTCCTATTTTAGTCGAAGTCCGGATAACCTTTGTGCCTGATCTCTCCGACCGGTACCCGTTCATCTGTATTCCGTCTGCCATTCGGATCTATTAGTCCGTTAGTGGGTTGCATCTATGTTTACGACCATAGGGTTAGAGGCTTGTGCCTTTAACAGGGTGTGCCCCCCCCCCCAAGAACCTTACGCTTTTGGCCGGTCACTAGGGTGGGCGCTCTTCCAGGGTAGAATCATATGTGGTTTTCTCCCCAGTTTCGCTGTACTACTTAAATATAAAAATTTCTCTTCCTGCTAATTAATGTGTTCAAAAAAAGTTAATTGTTCCCAAGCACATATTCAACAGTCAGTGCCACGCAGTCATCTATATAGTCGGGACCGGTTAATTCCGTAGCCGCGTGGCTGATGGCTGAAAGTAGAAGTTCACCGTAACGGCTCGTTGTCGTTCCATTCATTGAAATTTTCTCGATTGGGCGTAGGTGGTTCCTTAATTTTCCTCTTCACAATTGTATGAGAACAAATTAGCTACTGGTAAGATTTTGACGTAAACTTTTGGACATGAACCAGTTCTTAGCAACCCTAGCACAAGTAGTTCAACGTCAACACTTTTTCCGTGGTAATCGAAATTTCCCATCGCAGGATACTCCTCACGGTACACCGTCAGACTTACCGAAAAATGTCTGCCGGTGAGAATTGATCGCGGTTAGTTAGGCTGATAGATGTCGTCCTTTTTTGCCGCTAAGCTTAGCAGATAGGCGTTGGTTTTTGAAGTTCTCTGGACAGAGATTTGCTGTCAACCGGCTCTTTGAAACGATGATCAGATAGATCGCCCCATCTTTGTCTCATCGCTCCCTCACAATATTGTTTGACAGGTCGGTCCCACTGGTGTTGCTGTGGGCATTGAACACATTGAAGAGTTGAGCACTATGGCGAGGGGATATGTAGCCAACTGGCTCGCTCAAAGTCAAGTGGCCAAAAATATGGGAATCGAAATGGGCAAGCAACTCAAACTGGTCACGGGTGATGGCCGACAAGGCTGGCCTGAGGACGGACCATATGATGCGATCCATGTAGGCGCTGCAGCTGAAACACTTCCACAAGCGGTGAGTTGTTCGGTCCGGATCTGAGACTTGTTTGTGATTCAAAATCATCTTGGAATCTCCGGGAAAAAAAATCCACTCCCAACACATCAGCTGTTCCAAATCACTGCAGACATGATTTTTGTAAGCAGAAAAATTCCTCAGTGAGAGGGAATAGGGTAGCACAAGATATAGCGGGTTCCAAGGTGTCACAACAAAGCTAAGATATTGTTCACACTCGCACGCACACTGCACCACACTACGTACTAATTCGCGGAGATTTGTCGTCGAATGTCTTAGGTAACAGGCTGGAGCATGGAATCGGTTAGAACAGGATGTTTTTGACCTCTTACGGATCGACTATATATCAGAGCCAATGGGCCGGTATCAGTCTCCCTGGTTCAAGCTTTCCGTGCGAGCCTGGTGAGGCTGCAATATTTCCAACAAACTGCTTACACACAATGACGAGATGGTTTAAAGTTGAATGTAACCGATCCGAGGTCTCACATCCCCCCCAACCCAGCTACCGGGGCCGACTAAGGTTTCAGAGTTACCACAGGGAACACAGTCACTTACTTTCTCCTAAAGTCTATACTTACCTACTCTTGATGGCATCTTAGTCCATCCGCAAAGTCAGAAAGCCGCTTCGGTCTCACCAATTCACATTGTCAGTCAAGTACAGTGTGGGTAGTTCAGTTTCCTGTACAAGAAAAGGTGATGCCTGAATACTGAACTTCGGGGCATTCCGCTGCCTTGCTGATCGGTTTTACCCACGAAGCTACGACTGGTCGGGAAGTTGTGTAACCAGCTGAATAGATTAGGTGCCGCCCTGCAGAACTCTATCTTCACCTTGTCAACCTAGTGGGCTCCGACTTTTTTCCCTTGTCCAGTATTTTGGAGATTTCCTCCATGAAATCGGGCCTGTTAGGGATTGAAGATCTCATCTTCACGAAACCTTGTAGATTTCCTCCATGAAATCGGGCCTGTTAGAGATTGAAGATCTCATCTTCACGAAACCGTGCTGAATCATGTGGTCATCCGGTTACCAGTCATTCTGTCATGCACAGAACTCTCCAGATCTTCGAAGACAGATGAATTAAGTAGTTTGAAAGGTCATCTCCAGAACCACCTCCAAGAAAACGTGTGACGTTGGTCGTTATCCAGATTTGGCTAAGAAACCGATTGAATACTTTCACCAACAGTTCAAGCAATGTCTGTTGAAGCTTTTAACCGTCTCATCCCGATGTCCCGTCTTCGTCAAGTTCACCACTCTGTCATGTTATTAATGGTTCATTAATACAAGTCCTGTTTTCATCTGCTTGCCGCAAAGTGATGGATTTCTGTGTGCATCGAAAACATTCATCCTTTCAGTGTGTGCCAGGAGTGCGTTGGCGTGTTCAGTATTTGGAAAAGGCAGGGTACCCCGCCTCGTCACATTACCAATCATCGCCCCTAGGACTGGTTTTTATGATGTGTTGTAATTCATCTTGAGGTTTGTCGAGTCAGTACAAGGTCACTCTTAGAATTAGCGTTTTACGTTCTGTGCACCTGGTTTCACCAACAATAATAACAATTGATATTAAATCTTATTATCACTAATACTAGTGTTTCAGCTATAGTCCCTTTCGGTATATAGCTTCCTTACAATTCGAAGGAGGCACATAGACTGAGCTATTGTCATTTTTCACAGATTTCTCAAAAGGCCAGAGTTGATTTCGAACCACAAACATCCTGGGCAGTACTTTCACACGGTAAACGCCGGGCTCTCTCGTGCTAGGTCTTCATGGCAATGGAAAGCCCAATTATATTTGTTTCTTCCTCCGCCCACTTCATCTTGGGCACTACGGATTAGTTCAGAATTTCTGAGACTGCAACGAGACATTATATATATATATATATATATATATATATTACTGCTCCGATTTGAGCACCTAAGGCGGCATGGCATTAGCAAGCTCGAGATAACTCAGTGGTTAAGGCGCGAACTGACTGACCAGAACGTCCGTCGTTCAATCTCAACTTCTCGTTCAGCTGTAGCACCATTCCGGTGCCTAGCTACCGTGCCCTTCGAATGGAGCATGAGGGCTGGGATACTGTCAGGTTGCCCAAGCCTAGACAGTGGAAATGGAGAGGCAGAGGTCGGGTTTGAACCCGGACCTTCGAGTCAGTAAATTCGCTCTCTGATCACAGCCATCTCGCTCCCTCTGCCCAACCTCTGCACCTCGACTCATCCTGTCTAGGCTTAGGCAACCAGGCAGTACCCCCACCCCTCGTGCTTTCGGGTAGTGTGGAAACTAGGCATTGAAAGGGTGTTACAACTGAATTATTATTATTATTATTATTATTATTATTATTATTATTATTATTATTATTAGTTTATTCTGACATCGCTTTTACCCCAAGGGGGTGCCACGTCTCAATTGGCTATCACTGATCATCGTCATCATCATCAAGGACAGCAACATCAGTGTTCCCACTGATGCTTCACTGCCGTAGGCTATCACTGAACGCTTTGGTCGCGAAATCAATCCAGGTTAGGGAACAGTTTGGCACTCCTCACTCGAGTGGGTTGTCCGACATGATAAGAAAGCTCGCAGTGTTGAAGTGTGTCCCCAAGGAATGCCCGCTTTTGCGAAAAATCTATTTCTGAGGCATCGAAGCCACCAACAAGGATGGCATCCTTATCAGTGGGTCATTCGGCGCATAGTTCTTCCGCCTCAGTGACCTCAGTGTAACAAACCTCTATGCATTCGTCCTTCCTAGCCCTTACATCTTTTGTATACATACGTATTTTCACATATATATATTTATATTTATATAATACACGTACTACATTCATTGGATGCCACTGATATCAAACCGTGTGGTATTAACGGTGCATCCATTGGTGTGTAACATGCGCGTCGTTGCAAAGTACATTCAGCAATACATTGCACGTTAAGAGGAACAGGCGTTAGACCCGACGGTCGTCCGTGTTTTTTGTCACATACGGAATCACGGTTTTCACAGAGTTCTAACATAGCGAATGGTTCCTTCTACGCATAACGACGACCTTGATAACAGCTGCACAAGGAATGTTCACGAGAATAATGGAACGTTATATTGGGAGTATTAAACTTCGAAGTCTGATATATACATATATGCAAACAGTAAGGAGTATGTCCTACGTACTCTACTCGATAGCTCTGGGCAACCAACCATTGATCAAAGATGTCAGTTAGCCGATGCGAGATCCATTGATGAAAGATGCCAGTTAACCGACGCAAGACCTGTTAGCTGTCGCCGTTTGTCTCTTTACAGTGTTGGCAACAAGTTAGTAGTGTCTCTGAAACAGCGCTACCACCTTCATTATTTCTTGTGTCTTGTTTACTCGATCGTCATCAGCATTAGAATCACTTTGGTCCAATTGATATCTAGTTTCATACAACTTGGCGCAGGTGAACTTTGCGAGCAAACAGTACGTGAATGTTGTGGCAAACTGCAATCCCACTTCCAGAAGCACACTGCCTGCAGAAGATTCCCCATGCAAGAGCACAATTTGTTTATCACGAACAAGCGAGTACCAAGTTACACTGAACGTCGTGGTATTCATTCTTCCCGTAGCACAGGTTGTGTTTTCGGCGTCGCCTCTAGGGCATGAGTAACATCGGTCTTCGGTTGGCTGCTCAATTGTCGAATCGGCAGTTGGTGTGGAGACTTGGGAAACTTGGTGATTCTCAATATGTTTGGGCGGCTATTTTGGAGAATCTGACTTTCCACTCAATCGTTAGACGAGTAATATGCATCTGCTGTGCACTTATTTCTTTCTCGTGAGATCTATCCTTATGTGTTGTGTTCTTCAGAACGAGGAACTCAAAAATTCGTTCCAGATTGTTAGCAATACATCCCCATCTAATCGGTTAGTAGTCGTTCTGTCCAACATCATGTTGCGTTTTCTCGCAGCTTAAGGATCAGTTGAAACCAGGTGGCCGACTTATTTGCCCCGTGGGTCCAGTTGGCCGTGATCAAGTCCTCGTGCAGGTGGATCGCCTCGCTGACGGATCATTTCGAACGACCAACTTAATGGGTGTGATCTACGTACCCCTAACGGATCGGGAGCATCAGCTTCGTGGCAGGTATGATTCCGTTTTTAATTAGATTTTTCCCATCGAACTGCGACTGTTTCCACTGACCAATATGCTGTGAATCTCTAGAGCTCAAAAACGCCACAAGGCTAACTGATTAATCTTGTAACTCCATGAGCCAACGGTTGCTTGCTTTGAAAAAAAAATGATTTACTCAAAGACCTCTGTCTCTCTCTCTGGTGAACACAACCGCTGTGAAATGAACTAATAAAAAAGTTTAAATGTCTGCCTTGCATTCTGATTCGATGGGCTCCGTTCACTTTGGCCTTGAGAAAGGCCGTGAATAGTCAGGGTGGGAGATAATTGCTTAAAAAATCACCTTGTGTTCACTCCAGGCCTTTCGAGTGCAAAACCATCCAATGATTTGTAATTCCTGGTCGTTGACGCTAGGATTTAGTCACGATTCTCATCGCCGGTAACCCTAACTATGAGTTGGTCACTGAGGTCGCCAATTAGTCAAACCTTTTCCCAAAACACATCATTTAACCCTCCTGATGCAGTCTGAAGTACTTTGAAACCATGTTCTTTTTGCATCCATGTAAGGAGAACATGGCTGTGGGAAAAAAATAAACACATGACTAAGCGATCCTCATTCTGATACACAGTAGTTTCAAATTCGGAGCATCGCTGGGGTGTGGATTGGGGGTAAAAATCGGCTTTACTGTGGGTAAAACTAAAGAACCAAATAAATATGTGACTTGTTTTTCCTTTCATCTTGTATCTTTGAAAGCTGTCATTTGTTTTTTGCGCGTGTTTGGTTCAAACGATTGTTGGGAGTGGAAAAATGCTGTCCAACTTTGTATCGGTCAACCGAAACGGATGTCGCACTCGAGTTCACTTTACAATTACGGTGGGAACGTGGACTCTAATTCAGGCCGCACTGTCGAGCGATCCTCGTGAGTGGAGGGAGGTCTTATTGAGTGGGTGACTCACATGCGCTCACTTTCTTGAAAGCTAGGCAGTACAGTGACCAATCAACTGTGTGACACAGTAAAAGGGAACCCGTAAACTCTCCCAGGTGCATCAAGTATTTTATGGGTGGCCACCGTTTTTTTCACCCAATATCAGGTCATGACTGTTATTAAGCCTCAGCGTGACATATTCCAGTTAGCCATTGGTCATCAGCGCTGGATCATTCTCCAACTAGCCCCACAAATAATCGATGAAAGGCAAGTGATATAAAACGCAGAGGGGCCTGACTGACCAATCATGTTTATCTGATCTTGGACACAAATGGACGTAGGTGTTGAACAGGTTTCATCATAATGCCGACGTTCCTTGAGGATGTAGCTTACTCCTACCCTGTCTTTCTTCTGTTTCCTCTCACGTTGTAGAAGATGGCTAGTGTGACAAACAGATTCACAGTGTTGTCATGGCCCCAGGCATTTCCAAGTCATTTCGTCTATTTTCATATATATGAACACAAACGACACTGCGGACATGTGCAGATAATATACGCTTTCTCATTTCACTGCTTTCATCCATCTGTTACAGATATGAATTGTAAGTTACATGTATCAACAGCATGGACAAAAAAACAATGTATGCATTCTTGTCCCCTGCTACCTGTTCACGACATCCTCGTATACCGCACGCATTTCGTTCTCGTTTTACGTTCAGAGTCTATAAAACAAAGCCTACTTTTCGAAGAAGTTTGGTTTTGCTTGTGTAAGGTACGCCAGGAATCCGGTTGTGCTAGGGATGGTGGACAATGTTTATGGGTGTCGCTAAGCACTGAAGATAGCCTCTATCCGAATCGTCCCACTGCATCTAGTTGGATTCCCCGAGCTGTAGAGTGATTTGGAGTGCTCGTGAGTTGTGCATTCCAACCTTTCTGTTGCGCAGTCAGCAACGGAGCTACATACCGTAGCCTTCTCCACAATGAATGGTATGAGAGTCTCGTATTTGTCGGATGGTTTACTATCTTTCCAACTAAAATCCTACGCCTAGGGTTCTATGGTTGAGTTGTTTGAGAAGTTAGTCATGCTCCGCCAACTTCATAAGTCCTGGTGCTTGAATACAGAGTTGCAGTAGCTGAGAGTTCTTGTTACGGTTGCGATGGAATCGTGCCTGCCACAAAACAGGGGTCTTGTCATTTGGAACATGTCTCTATCGAGACATGCTGGTATTTTCACGGATAAAACTGTCTTCGAATCGTGTTCCTAGTTGCTCCACAGGGTGACACGTATTCTGACCGTTTGCATAGCAAGAGGGCGTTGGAGGCATGGGGAATTAACTCATCATCAATCATCATCATCAAAGACAGCAACATCAGTGTTGGCACTGATGCTTCACTGCCGTATAACTGGCTTTATCGGAAGTACCCTTAGCTTCTCAGTCAAAGTCTGTCGAGTAAAGCACAGTTCCATCACCGTAGAAAAAGTGTAAGCGGTGTTCAAGCACAAATGTAGGAATCTCCGGCGACTCGACTGATTGAATGCCCTGTTTCCATCCTGTACAAGGCTCCCAAATATATTGATTAGCCGCTTCATCCCACCTACCATCCGGCTGGCGATGTTCGGATCATAATTGCTTTGACCGTAAAGACTCGCGTGATAGCTGGACGCTCTGGCAAGGTTAGTCCAAATGTGAGATCCTACGCGTCTTTTGTGTGTCGTGATATCTCGACCATCGTACCAACAGAAACGTGCAACACATTCAGTTGAAGTGGATCATCATAAACGAGAGATTCATCTGGGTTCAGTTGAGTCTCCTGTCAAATGAGAGTATTTGTCGAAATCTGTCCAATTTGCGTTCAAGTAGAAGATAAGGTTGACAGGGATCCTACATACCTGATGAGCCCCAGGAAGTGCGAAACCGGTCGTAGGCTGTCCATAGGTTTTTAGCATCCTTATAGGTGGCGTATCGAGACTTCCGTTATTCTAGGAAAGTGCATGTGCTATTAGTTTGCCTTCTGCGTACTCGTATGAGACACGTTTGCAATTTAATTTGCAAGTTCACTTGGAACTGTCTATATTCCTGTCTTCAAATTTCTACAAGTGGCCGTCCAGCCTAACCTCATATTTTAAGCATTGAAGTCGGAAGTCAGAGAGGAGCTCTTGGAAGATGTCTAACTAATAGTTGTTCAAGACTTTTCGCCGAATTCATACTCCATCCCACTGGAAATAAGCCATCTAGTCTATCTTTAACCATGGAATCAGGCAGGTACATGAAGCGGCCAAGTCCTTCCTCAAACTGAGGCTCTTCTTATCCACTCAGCTGGGCTCGAACCCGAGCCTCATGCTTGCGGATGAATCGATTGAGATACTAGACACATTTGTTTACCCGGGCAGCTGTATCAGTCCCGGTGGTCTCACGAAAGATGATATTTCTATCCGGATTGGGAAGGCCAGAGCAGCTTTCGTGAACTTGTGTCATTTGTGGCGTAGGCGTGACATCAGCTTATCCGTCAAGGGTCGAGTTTGCAATGCTAATTTACGCTCTATCTTATTAAACAGGTCAAAAACCAGGCCGCACCTCCCTGATGGCAGAAAATCTTCAGCGCTTGACCATCGGAGCACAGTCCGAGTCTGGTGGTGAACCACACAGAATGGTGTTCAGCAGAAATAACTCGCCCAAGGTGGATGAACTGATCACATTTCATAAGCTGCGTTGGCTTCGTCACGTGCCTGCATAGGTTGCGCTGGCTTGGCCACGTGCTCCGTATGTCAGTCGACCGTCTTCCTTGGAGGGTTTTTTTACTCACAACCACGCGAAGGGTGGAAACGAGCCAGGAGAGGTCAAGCAGTGACTTGGCAGCGAAGTAAAAGAGCCATTACGAGCAAACTTAGCTGCGCTGGTCACTGCCGTCTTCCTGGATGGGGACCCCGAGACGGGCCACATCAATGACTAGAGACATTGTCAGACATGGCCCAGTCGCGCCCTCAATGGCGCTCGTGCATCCAAGCTATTGCCTTCAGTGCACAGCGACCTTCTCAGTCCTCCCACTTAAAAGTGGGGGGGGCGTCAGCTCCCGCCTCCAATGCGCAGCTACCTAACCCCAAATCATCGGTGAACGAAACTGGCAGCTACGACCACTGTACGACAAGTACGCCGTTCTTAAAGCTTACAATGATAATGATGACTCAGCGACGGACCGATATCGGCCAGCACGCCAGCCGACCCAACCACGATATTCAGACCGGGGTTTCTACCACCGACTTCCAGATATTCAACGCCAAATCTACTTACTGCATACAGCAGGGCGGGTAAGCGAAAACATGCTACTGCTGACGTCTCCCTTCTTTCACTTTCACGTTTTCCGTCTTCCGCCCTCCCCGGCCCAAATTTGAATACTTTCTCCGCAGGTCCCAGCTCTAGGACTAACCGTTTTGCTCACCCCGCATCACACTCGACTGCAGGTTCTGCACGTCTGAGTTTATTTACAACCCTAAACACTTCGAAGTCTGTTTTCAAACCCCGAAAGCCTATCTATTTAGCCACCTTCAATGTTCGCACACTGAAGCAAGCAGATCAACAGGTGGCTCTTGCGCGTACGCTGGATTCCCTCCGTATTGATGTATGTTGTCTGTCAGAAACAA